TAACTTGACTCTACAGCTCCTCTTAGCTCTATAAAGCGGTTCACCGTCTTTCAGCTGATTGCTTAGGTTTTATGGCCTGCAACTTTACTGTTATGGTTCAGTCTCGCAGCTCTCGTCATGCAACCTGCCCAGAACCATTAGCATACACACAGTTAGCAACTTGCTGGTGAAAACAGTGGGGTATATCAAATAGCTAAAGAACCAGATATTTCCCTCAGGAGTTGGTGAAGACTAAAACAGAGCTAAAAGGAGAGTGAATATTAGACTCATGTGCATCATATGAACACAAATACAACTCAAAATAAATTGTGATGTTCTACTCTGTAACTGCTGGATGTGTAAATAGGCAACTGTTCGCTAGCAACATCAACATATCAATTTAAAGTGATGGTATGCTAATGTTGTGTTCGCAGCTTGGTTTCACTGCTGTGTGTGTTTTCTTAACTAAAGAGGTTTGTTTTGAACACAGATCATGTCAAATTTACCATCCACTGTATGTACTATGTTCTACAACTGTGTCAGTATAATAAGTTGTCACAAGAGTAACTGTCAGATGAAACAACAGGTAAAATGTGACCACAAGACCTTTATGTTACGACTACCTTGAACTGCTACGCATGTGGTTTGAAACTTACTAGGGAAATTTGTTGTACGTCACTGCTCATCTGTCTTTCCCCTCATTTCCTGTGATCGCTCAACTGCTAACCAAGCCACAAAAAACAGAAACAGTATCTTAAAATTCACATTCTGGCTTTTGGCCCCGCCTGTGTTATAAGAGGAGGGTAATCTCGGGACAAATAGTCATTTTGATGATGATTGCAGCAGGTAATAAAACCAGTGGCCGCCTTCAGTAAGCAGTCATCACCTGAAGCACACAATTAGTGTGGCCACAGAGATAATGAGAACAGCCTATATCATCTCGCTGTTCTCTTTCTTTTATCTGGCTGTTCTTGTTGAGCTCCATCTGGCTGATTTATACAAGCACCGGACCTTACAGACAAAGGCTGGAGCACAGAGCTAAACTAAGACTTGGGAACCGAGCCAAACTGTCTAACTCAGATCTGGAGTATCTCTAAGTAGAAGGCACAGTTAAGTGCGTATGAGCACAGACAGTGCGTGTGTGTATGTGTGTGTCTGCCCTGGGCAGAAGTATAACCAATGTGAATTAAATTTTACACTGAAGTCACGCAGTCTGGGTGATTTATGATTTACTTCTTTTGAACTCCAATTCCCTGAGATCCAAACCAGGATAACAAAATTATGCAGACAGGGAATTTACCTTTGATGAAGTACAGTTTTACCAACATGAAACTTAAGTTAATTAAACGATGACAACCATGCTGGTATAATAATGCTTTAAAGGCTGGAAATGCATCGTAAAAATGCAATGGTTACACTACAAAAACAATCCAGTAATCTCTTAAAAGAAATCATAGAGCTCATAGCTCTTTGTGTTCGTCCCCAGAGATGAAGCTTGTGTAACCTCACCATTTCAAAACCTCTTCTTTGCCACCGGCATCCTCAGGGAGAATATCGCACTCTCTCTATGTTATAAGGACACTGGTGTATAGGGTTTGGAAATTTTTATGCAGGAGCAGCCATTCAACAGTAAAATTAAAACACTTTTCCAGTGAACTTTTAATCAAATCTGTGGCCTAGGAGCAGAAAAAAAAGACTACTACATTAAAGAGCAGCATGCATGTTTCAGATTAAGGTAACCCAGTGGGAAATGAGCTTATCTGTACTGTCTGGTGCTTATAGTTACATATGAATTCACAGTTGCCCTCACATGCATCATAATAAGCAAGCAGCAGCTATTAGTTATATTGATTAAAAATGTTATGTTTGCTTCTAATATATGCTAAATGTCTGTGATGATAAATGACATAAAAACCAATATAACATAATCAAATATAAATGTATCTACTGATATGAGTCAGTAGCTGAAATCAGTGATTAAAAGTAAAGAAGGTGTTAAAAGCTTTGAGATGTAGCTTGAGGGAAGAATCTGTGATCTGCCTTAATTAGCTATAAGCAGTAAAATGTTAAACTCATTAAAAAAAACTGACAAGGTCATAAATCCCATAACTCAAAAAACAGTCTCCCTTAGCAGATGTTTGTTTAGATCACCAAATCCTAAAAATATAACTCCACAATGGAGGATAATGAGGAATTTCACTTTGACATGAGGGAAGTTTGACTGAAAAGCAAGGTGTCAAAGTTTTTTTAATGGATTTTTTTATCATTATTTTCTGTATTGTTCTCTTCCGTTGGAAGAATCAGACAAAGACTATTTTTGCCGGGTGGTTAAAATGAATGACAGACATTGCCTCTTTTGAATCTCTCATTGTATAAGGACTAATAATTTTATAGGGAATTAATTGAAATACGGAAGGAAATGCAACAGAAGGTAATATTCCTGCTGCTTTACTGTAAATAGTGCTGCTCCATTTCTTGTACTTATATCACTACATCATTACATTTCTATTTTTTATGTTTATTGGTCTATATTAATTTATTGATACTAGCTGCTTTGTACACAGATTTGATCTTTTATGATTTACTGTAAGATGTTGTCTGGTGTTGCATCACAGTCTGTTGGAAAAGTTGCTAAAAAAAAATTACAAAAAGATTGAATCAAACTATTTCAGTGGGAAGTTGGCAGATATTCACGAGCGAGCGTTGAGCTGCAATGTTCAAAGAAAAACTGCATGAATCAATATGTGTCACTCGACAGACAATGTGTTGACTATGACTCCCGCAGACGCATGTGTCATCTTTCATTACTCCAAAGTTAAACACAAAGAGAAGTGTTTACATTTTCCCTGTTGTGATCCGTCCACACAGGAAAGGTCAATACAGGAGGGATCATGAAGGTGTCGCTGGGCGCCAGTCTGAAGGCAAAATCTCACCGTAATTCACATTTACATGAAACAGCAATGAATTAAGAAAATCCAGGATTCTATTTGCAGTAAAGAGTGGCGAGGAGGAGAAAGGACTACTGCTGATATCTCCCTCTGTGACTCAAACTCTACCACACAATACTGATGCTTACACACAGAGCACAACAACAATTAATCAATCCTACAACACACTCACCTCTCCCACAAACAAAGATGCAGTGCCTGCATTTTGTGAGCTCGGAAAAATGCCGCAGTAAACAAATTAAACAGTTGTTTATAAAAACTGTTTTACAAAAGAATTCTTTCTATTTTTTTCCCCAGTTTTGAGCAAAACGCTGCCTCGAACAGCTCAACCTGCACCTGGAACTGCGGGATTATAGAAACATACTGAAGGACTGTGCAGCTAAACATCTGGATAAATGAAAATAAGCACATGACATTTCCAAGTCAATTTTTTTACCCTTCACCTCTGCAAAATAAAAGGAAACAACAATAGCTCATTCAAACTTTTACTGGAGGAGGGAGGGGTTGGAAATAGCACTCCTTGAAATGGACTGGCCCTTCTCCTGAGGCAAAAGGCAATTTCATGCTTCAGCACGACTCAGGGGGACATCGGGACGAAAGGTGACCTCAAGGTTAACAGTGAAAAGCTAACAAATATGTTGGAAATCCGGCAGTACAACAACAGCTGGTCACACTCTAAAAATGCAATCCCAAGGTTTAACTGTCATGATTTCAAAATCTTTCCTCATAACATAAGAAGCTTGATGTTGGGAGGGTTAGGGTTGTTGTTGACAGCAGTGTCAGCGTTCAGGCTGATGCCAACCTTATCACTTGATTCTCAATGTGGCAGATATCAATAATTCAGAGGAGGATCGCAGTGTTGGCAGCCATTTGAAGATGAAAGGCCAGAGAAGTGTACTGGTGTTTGCTGGAGGTTAGAACTGGTGTCATCTGCAACAAGCAACACACGTGTTAACAAGTCGCTTCCCCAGGCCCGGGTGGAGGCACAGAGAGGATACAAGTGTTCAGGCAAACCAAACACAAAAGCAACTGTTTTCCCTTGTTCGTTGTTTCTCTTTGGTCCAGATAATATAAATCTGCTGCTGGCTGATCTAAAGTATTAAATTTCAAGCATAAATTACATTTGTGCCTCATGCAAAATGAGAAAAATTACAACAGCAATGATGTACAGAAGTAATCCGGACAAAAGACGAACACAATCCAGCAGGGCTAAGTGGAAACGCCCAGTCATCTGATTGTTGCTTGATTCTAAAACCAAAAAAAGAAAAAAGACACCAGACTCCCAGAAATAACAAGACAAAGGCTTCTGGAGTTGGTGTTTGGTCTTGAGGATGTTAGCACTCATCCAAGAGGCCTAATCTGCCACACAGGCTTCTTCCCCCCGTTTCAACAACGTTTTTGATTTTCTGGCTCCGGTACAGTCGCGGCCACGATAGTGACCAGCATCAAACCCAAATCAATGCTACAAAAGATCACTTTTCGAACCTCTGAGTGATTTTACCACAGTGTTTGTGTGACCAAAACACCCTGCTCTTTGCAATTTCAGCACCACAGACAGCGCCAGAGTGAAAGCAACAGTCTCCCTGCAGACAGACACACAAAAACTCCAGAGAATCAGGCGGTGATGAGCTTCACATCATCAGCTCTGAAAAAATATCTGATGATATTTCCTAGTTTTGGTTTCATGTTGGACAAAACGCACAGACAGCGACCATGCCAAGCCCCTCTTTTTTTTTTTTTGTCTAAAGACACATTGTCAGAAAAAAAACAAAAAAAAAACAAAACAGTGAAATGGAACCAAACACAACATCAATTCGAGCAAACATGCAGCTGCCACAGAATAAAAATCAGCCTTTTAAAACTTTCTTGGACAGCCTGTAAAAGTGGAACCAATGAGAGAGCTTCCACATCTCCAGGGATAGACTATAATGGCCTGTGCACGTGCATATTTGTCTGAGAGTGTGTGGAGTACCTTTCAAAGGGAATTATCTAAACTATACATCTGGAGATTTTTCATAAGGGGCGGGGGGGGTGGGGGGTGTTATGTTGGCAAGTAAAGCATAAGTGTCTTACATCCTCATCCTCCCGCAAGCATTTTTTGCGGTACTGGACGTGAGGTCTGCCATCGACGAGTTGCTGAGTGGTCTTCGCTGCGTTTTCCTCGTCTGCAACCTGTCCACCGAGGAGATGGCTGGCCTCAGGTGGGTGCGGGAAGGAATTGGTCGTATTGATCTTCCCAGTGAATCTCTGATACAGCGAAGCCATAATATAGGTCCAGTCCAGGTAAAACAACTTACAGCATGTCAGAGCCACAAATGGATCTCGCCTGTTTCGTTTTTTTTTTTTTTTTGTCAGATCTATTGGTTTTCTGTGCGCTTCGAGCAAAACCGATGGCAGGCAGCCAGTTTTCACCTCCGGGATGGAGCAAAAAAAAAAAAAAGATAAGATACTTAGTAAATAAACCTCTATAGATAGTGGATGAGACACAGCCTGAAGTGATAGACCGATATAACGCTAAATCCTTCTCGCCGATGTCCTTTTAGCTTTGTCCAGGCGCGCAGCAGACTGGTGGGCTGTAGGTGTCAATAGTTGCTCTCTTCTGTATTCACAACACGTTGTCTGCCCTCTTCAGTTTCCTGATGCCTCCTCACAGCGAGATAGCAGGCGGATGCGCCGAGTTTCCGATCAAGATATTCGATTCCCCCACCAGACTCCCTCCCGCAGTGATTGTCCACAAAACAAAAGAGCGAGAGATAATGTGTCCACACTTTCGGCTCTGCGTGTTGGTTTTTTTTTTGTTGTTTTTTTTAAAAAAAAATCCTCCTCGAGCACAGAGAGTGTGGAAGACGCAGGGAGCCCGGCGGTGTACTCTCCGCAGACGCGCGCTGCATGAGAAGTGACCAGCACTGAGAGCAGCTTTACTGTAGCGCTTACTGTCATGCAGCACCTCTCTCTATGCCTGTGTATGTGTGTGTATGTGTGTGTGTGTGTGTGTGTGTGTGTGTGTGTGTGTGCGCGCGCGTGTGCGTGCCGCTTTACGCACAAACATGGGCCATCGCTGCAAGGCTTTCACCTGGATGTACCTTCATCTAGAACCTCTGGACTGACAAATCGCACTCGTTTATGATTTGATGAACGGGGTCATACATTTTTCTCCCAAATGGTTGCACACGGTCCCAGGACGGATCTCGAGTGCCTCTCCGTGGCGCACTGCATTAGGGCAGGCTGACCACACACCACCTCCAGAGGAAGTCTGCTCCGCTTGTAAAACAACAAATGTTCTTATGTTTTTGCTCTTGTTGCTCAAAAAAAAAAAAAGAAAAAAAGAAAAAAATCCAGCTCTCACAAATCGAGTGGATGGTGTGAAGCTTAAGTGAAGATCAATAATCCTATAGATTGTTCCCATTTTTCTAAAACATCCAGAAATTGCACTGTCAAATATTTTTCTCCTACAACAGGCAAAAAGGAATTTATTGTGTTTATTCCAAATGACATAACACCCCCCCCCACCCTCAGCATTTTCAAATCTCAAAAATACTTTTCTTTAAATCCCATTTTAGAGAAATAATCCAAACCATCACAGAGTCTGTTCCTCCCCTTAATTTATGCAGTTTCCCTCCTTCTATCATACATTATCAGTCAGTTCACACTCAAAAGTGGTATTCAGCTCATACACTACCCAATGCAAGTGATTTCAAGCTTGAAATGCTCATAGAGGCCACAGCAACGCTGCTCTCTTGTAAATGCAGAATATTGGTTTATATATGGTGGTGGTGGTGGTGGTGGGGGGGGGTCTTGAGTCAAAGTGCCATCCCTGTCATGAATGCCACAGGCGAACACCCCTCAGCCTCCCACCGTGACAGCTCAAACTATCACTCGGAGCTGTATTTCTGGGAAATAGGTCATCTTCACAGGGGTAGTACAACTTCAAAGCAGTACTAAAGCACAGCTCAAAACAGCCCCCCATTTGGTGAAATCAAGTTCATTTCGTAAAGGTTTGCAGAGTAAGAGTAATTAAGGCACACTGACTACAACAGTGCAAATGGAAATATTCTGTATTCAAGTCTGAACAAAGAGTAAGTTTCAATTAAATTTTCTTCCAAATGGTGAGTCATCTCAAACTCTGAAAGAGCCGCCGGAGGCTCATTGATTCATGGCCTGAATTATGAATGTAACCTTTATAATAGGATATGTATTTGGAATACAGAGTATCGATTTCAAAGGTTTGGTCATTTATTCAAAAACAAGGACATAGGACATCACCGCCTTTGCCTAATTAAAGTTAATCCCCATCCTTCTCTTGCTTTTCGTTTTAAAATCAATTTTCCTTTGACTGTGAGTACGATTCATAAATTAATTCAATCACAACTTGGTTTGATGCTTTTGCGTGCTCGTTAATTGGAGTTTCAGCAGAGATTTATGTTGGGGAGCTGAACATCTGGGTTTCCAGCGGCCTCCTCTTCCACAGTGGCTCACTTCGGTCCCTGTCATCATTTGTTTCCCTAGTTCATAAATGCCTTTCCTGGGTCTGCGCACCCGCGGGGAAATAGGTCCGAGTCACTTGACATCCATCTCAGCCTCTCTGATAGATGTTTTCTAATCTCCCTCACCTTGTTGGGGAGCTATTGTGAACTGCCTGGCTGCTTTAACGCTCCCCCCAGGACCATGCCGGGGAGCCTGGGCTCAGCTTGACTCCTCATATCGCTTCCAAGCAGATACAGCAGCTGACTGGAGCTATGCCTTTCCCCTGCTCTCGCAAACATCACTGCAGTCAAGCCCTGCATTATAGGTGGTACAAATTTGGAGCGGCGTGTAATAACAGCCATAATGGTGATGATAGTTGGAGCATACATAATACCTCTGCGGGTAGCTGATGGAGCTGCTGGAGCCAGTACAAGTTAAAACTTACTTCAACTGTGATATGGGACATGACAGCTGCATTTTAATCCGACTGACATGATGGCCATTAGGCTCTGCTATGCAATGAAATCCCGCGGGTGAGTTTACTTTTGATTTCCGTGAGGGGTTTATGCACAAAAGTTACCGGAAAATTTACAACCTGAAAATGCACGGTTGTTATTTTTATTATACAAGGACCAGAGGGAAGCCATTTACTTTTCCCTCGTTGCGGAAATGAAATAATGCCAAAATACTAGTGACCACGTGCTCCATGGAAAGCTGGAATACTCCGAGGCAGACTGCAGGTAAAATCCCACCTCTGCGTAAAAAATACAGCAACTTTATACCAGTTTTGTTCACAGAAAATACTAAACTGGAACCAAGAAAGTTGTCATCCAACATGGAAAAGAAAGTGGTATTGTAACAAATAAAGCTTTTTGTAATGTTTTCGGCTTAAGCTTGAACAGTTACTATCACACCTTGTGAAAACTGTATATTAAACCCATTTATAGTATTTTCTTCTTTAAGAATATGTAAAACTGAGGCATGATTGGGGTGAATAGCTTGAGGTGCAGTTCAGTGTCACACCACAGCCGCACTTATGCATGATTCATAATATCATATATATTGTAATTCACTTTAAATGCACACATTAATGCATTTGCATTAACTGAAATGTCACTGCAAGCCAACTTGTTTCCATCAGCATGCTACACACCACAACAAAATTAATTGGATGGAAGAGTAAACAGATCAATCAATGTGTAGTGGGAGCGCAGTAATATCTAATTTCCTCCAAACATCACTCAGCTGAACAAGGTAATGACTGCGCCTCTCTACATACATGTAACAGAATGGATTTAGTTACAGCCCACCATAATCGCATTTTTGCACAATTTTCCATTTGGTATTAGCCGGACATTAATGATTTCCCTTGATGCTGAGCATAGCCAACCATGGCAACAAGTTTCTTTATCATCCTGCTGCCTGTGTCGGATTACATGCTCGGCTTTACTGCGGACGTGAAACATGTATATTATCTTAAGGCTGTCCTCAAGTCATCCATTACTGAGCTGTAAGTATTTTGCTCTCATATTGAATAACAATAATCACAAGGCCATTTAAAATGAATTATGTGCGTTCAATTTGTCTAATTATCAGAACTAGTCTTCAAGCAGGAATTACACATCATCATAATACTTCTATATCAGAGGTTTTCAAAGTGTGATGTGCGCCTCCCCAAGGGGGAAGAGACGTGAGGCAAAGATACTGCATGAGGTGAAAGAGACAGATGCATGCTATGTTCTAAAAACAAAGGGATTTTAGTTATCTTAGTTTGTCCCATTGATTTGTCCCACTTACCAACATGATCAACCCCAGCAGCAGTCGCTGTGAAGCACATAATTCATGGAGGCAGTTAGGCTACTTTACATCCAGTTGTGCTCGTCTGCCGCACTTAGCGTCCAAAATCTCACTTCTCCTCCGAGTCATAACTCAGTCAAATCTGAACACTCAGACATGATTTCAGATGTGGTGTCATCTCCAATGTCCATTGAGCGAAAAAAGAAAAATTGAGAAAAAAGATGCTCTTCAATACTACAGAACTTGCCTGAGAATCCTGAGAAATATTTAGTTGATAGTTGTCTGTACATCCCGGGGAAAGTGCTACAAGCTAATCCAGTTGAATGGTGCCAATTTACCTAAGTGCAAAAATATATGTAGGCTAAAAAATGTGGCTGAAATTGTGACCCACATCTGACTAACTGGTGATATTATACTGTAGACTACTTCCCTTTTACATCCGCCTAAAATTATGGGGACTGTACTTCCAAAACGTAGAGCAAAATTATACTTCACATAGCTAGAGAAAAGGTAAGAAAGGGAATAAAAAGGAGAGACAAAATCCATTAATATGAACTTTAGATAGATAGATAGATAGATAGATAGATAGATAGATAGATAGATAGATAGATAGATAGATAGATAGATAGATAGATAGATAGATAGATAGATAGATAGTTATGAAAACCCTTCCATAAATTCACATAAATGTTAATAAAATAAAATGGTACACTTTCCATGACTGAAACTAGCTGGGCATGTTTCCTATTGGCATATTATCTTCTACAGAAAATGAGTGCTGAATCTTCCAGTAAATTACAGATGAAGGGAAGCCATGTAGTGAGCAGTAATTGAAATGGCAGCAGATAAGTCACTGAGGAAATGGAGTTTAATGTCAGCTGATGTGGTAGAATAGACTGTGGCTATGTTTGAGGGGAGCAGCAGAATACAATTGTGGACTGTGGGTGCAGCAGATGACGAGGAAGAGGAGGAAGAGGAAGAAGGAAGGAGGGAGACAGGCAGCGGATACGCCAAACAAAAAAAATGTACTGTCGCATGTGTGTTTCCGTGTGGAAATGGAAAGTGTGTGGGGCAAAACAAGAG